GAATATACAGTATTTGTCTTTCTCTGCCTGACTTATTTCACTAAGCATCATGTCCTCAAGACCCACCCAAATTGTCGCAAAAGGCAGGATTTTCTTTTTCATGGCTGAGGAACATAGTGTATACACAGCCCATTTTCTTTATTCATTCATCTGTTTAGGGCCACTGAGGTAGTTTCCATGCCTTGGCTGTGTCCAAGGCTGCAGTGAATGTGGAGGTGCAGACGTCTCTTTGAGATACAGATTTCATTTCTTTTGAATATATACCCAGAAGTAGGATTGCTGTATCATATGGCAGTTCTCTTTTTAATTTTTTGAGGCACCTCCAGACTGTTTTTTATAGCGGCTGTACCAGTTTACGTTCCCACTTTTCTCACGCCCTTGCCGACATGTTATCTCTTGTCTTTTTTACCATAGCCACTCTAACAGGTGTGACTCTCATAACTCATAGTTTTGAGTTGTATTTCTCTGAAGAGTAGTGAGGTTGAGGGCTCCTTATCCTGTACGTGCTGGCCATTTGTACGTATTCAAAATGCCTCTTCAAGTCCTCTGCCCATTTCTTAATTGAATTGTTTGTGAAACCCTACTCTTTAAAACAGCTCCCTTTAGGTCTATTTCTCGAGTTTTTTTATGATCAATAGAATGATAACATGTATAGTTCACAATACATTATATTAAGAACTCAGAACCGAAATCTACCTATATGCTGTTGACAAGATGCTCGCTTAAAGTGACACAGAACAAAAAGAAAACAGTGAGAAAATAAAGTGCATGATGACCATGGACAGATAAAGTAGGATTTAAGACAGAAACATTAATTGAGGCAAAGATGCTTTTTTTATATAAAAAAAAGGAGAGAGAAGCCATAATGAAAATATAGCATTCTGGGACATTTATGGGGATGAATAATGTCACATCAATATACAGGTATATATGAGGAATCTGATGGGAACACAATAGCAGTGCAAGCTTTAACTCATTTTCCTTGAGATTTCACAGCTAAAGCAGTTGAAACAGTTTATTGAATAGACACATAAAGAAATGTGTATGTTACAGAGTAAACAGTATTTCAGATGCACATGAAAGTTTTACAAAAATGGATTATATCCTAAGCCATAATGAAAACCTTACTACCAAAGAGATAAAATTCTAAGAGTCATGTCCTCTGATCACAGTAACAAAAGGATACATTAAATAAAGACCCCTTTCCAAATAACTTGAGAGTGGAAAAGAAAATCAAATCTTCAGTTGTGGAATGTTTTTAAAATATTTATATCATGCAGCTAAAATCCTCCTCAGGGGAAATAAATCATATAGAGCAGGGTTTCTCAACCTCAGCACCATTGACATTGTGGGGTACATAATTCTTTGTGTGTGGGGGGGGATGTCCTGTGCATTGTAGGGTGTTTAGCATATGTCTGGCGTCTACCCACTAGATGCCAGGAGCACGCCCCCTCTCTCACACACACACACACACACACACACCAGTGGGGTAAACCAAAAATGTCTTCAGATATTGCCAAATGTCTCCTACATGGCAAAGTTGTCCCTATTTGAACCCCTGCCCTAGATCCTTCTGGTATTAAAAAAGAAACTGTTCAGAATAAATAGTTTAATTTGAAAAGCTAGATAAAAGCAACACATCTGAGGTCAACATTCCTAGAGAGGAAAGGAGAATTCAGTTAATTAATGATTCATTAATTTAATTAATGATTAGAAAAGTTATCAAATTGATTTTTTTAAATATAAGAACTGTTTCTTGATTGGATAGACTGTTAAAATATATATAAACCTTTGGGCCAGTCAAGTGGTGCGTTGGTTAAGAGCTGGCTTGGGATGCCAGAGGGCCCCGGTTCGGATCCCACATATGAGGGCCAGTGACACTGCCCTCTACAGCTAAGATGCTGAACAACAGCTCAACCTGGAGCTGGGCTGCCATGAGTCACCAGCGACGGTGTAGGCTGCAGCCCCTGCTACAGTGGGTTGCCATGGGCTACCATGTGTAGCCAGCAGCCAGCGTGAGTGGCCAGCAGCCGCTGTGAGTGGCCATCCAGAAGCTGGCGACTGATCTGCCTCACCCAGGAAGAGCACAATGATGGTGCCAACTTGGGTCAGTGAAGCAACGTCCTCCACAACTAGACTGAAGAATAAAAGGACAGCAATTTGTCTGTTCCCCTTCCCCCAATTCCCCAATTAAAAATCTTAAAAAAAAAAAAAAGTTGGCTTGGGATGCCAGCTCTGAGCAGCAGGGCCGCCAGTTCGGATTCCACATGAGGGCTAGTAATGCTGCGCCCTCTACAGCTAGATGGTGAACAACAGCTCAACCTGGAGCTGGGCTGCCGTGAGTCGCCAGCGACGGAGTAGGCTGCAGTGGGGCTGGCCAGCAACAGGCGTGAGCTTTTGTGAGCTGCCGTGAACCACCGTGAGTGGCTGTTCAATGGCTGGCGAGCAACTGCCTCACCTGGGAAGAGCACAATGACAATACCAACATGGGCCAGTGAAGCAATGTCCTCCACAACTAGACTGAAGAACAAAAGGACAGCAACTTCTCTGTTCCCCTTCCCCGACTCCCCAATAAAATAATATATATATATAAAGATATATATATGTATATATATACATATATATATCTTTGAGAAAGAAAAAATGTAAAAGCAACATGCATTCACAATATTACAATTGTGAATAGGGATTTAAGAACAAAAACCATAGAGTAGGTTAGAAATATGATAATATTCTCCTAGTTATTATATCCCCATATTATCCTACAGTTATAAGCTATTAGTGTTAAAATATGAAGTAGACCATTTTCTAAATATGTGTATAATTTACCAAAACTAACTCAAGAGAATATGGAAACTACTTAAAATAGACCTATTAGCCATGGAAAATATTGCGAAAATCAACATTTCAAAAAGAACTGGGCCTCAGATAGTTTTATATCTAAGCTCTTCATTTCTCTAAGGAAAATTTAATTTTTATGTTATTTTTACTGTTCCAAGACATAAAGAAAAAAGGAAACTTCTCGGTTCTTTTTCTAAAGTTGACCATAACACAAATACCACCAGCAACATCTGACAAATATAACCCTAAAAAAAAAACCAGAAACATAAAAAGAAAGTTTCTCGAAACTGAAAACATGCAAGATGAATTCAAACACACACACACACACACACACACACACACACACACACACAAACACAGAGGCAAGGATGCAATGTTAGTATTAGATTCCACTGAATTCAAGGCAAAAATGAGATAAAAATTGAGATACTTTATAATAATATTAAAGTTTACTCCATAATGAAGAAATAATTGCCAATTTGTTTTCTATAATAAAAACCAACATTAAATTCCCAAAACTTTACGCATTAAAGGGAAATTTTGATGGAAGCAACCTATTTGTAGGTAACCTAGATCGTCTGTGTCAGATTAAAGAGCCAGAAGGTAAGAAAGGAATTGAAGCAATATCGTCACCACTGATTAAATAGATAAATGTTATGTTCCTATATTAATCTGCAAACACAGCTTACTCTTTGTTTTTAAATGCCGTGGAATATATACAAAATTTAAACATATTTGGGTTCCAAAGGAAACCTTAATAAATTATCAAAAGTGCACATACAGACCATATTTCTCTATCACTTTTTTTTTCTAGAATTTAGTAGAAAAAAGGAAAGAAATAAAATGAACCTCTTAGAAATTTCAAAACTTTTCTTAAACAACTCTTGGATAAAAGAGGAAATTAAAATTGAAATTTAAAACTATAGACATAAAAAAAGAATAACAAAAATCTTTCATGGTGAAAGCTATCAGAAATGTTAACGTCATGCTCAAAGGAAAACTCATAGCATTAAACATATTACTAAAAATTGAGTATGAAAATAATGAATTAAAAATGCAACTCAAAACTGAGGGAGGTGCAACAATAATAAATCTTCAAAATCTGAGGAAGAGATTAATAAAGATAAAATTAGATAGTAAAGACATTGAAAACAGGAGAAGTGATGAACAAATTTGAGATTTGATTCTTTTGAAGAGGAAAAAAAAATCCCACATAATAAAATAGAAAACCCGTGAGCTTGCTTAATGAAGAAAAAGTAGAGGGAAACAGATACTTGACAAGAGAAACTACAAAGGGAAAATAACCACAGATGCAGAGGAAATAAAAATAATTCTGAGTATGCAGATTGCTATGCCTCACTGGACTGTGTGTGTGTGTGTGTGTGTGTGTGTGTGTGTGTGACTGTGTAATGTTTAGGTGAAAAATACACACTGTTCTAACTCTGTGTTTAGTATGACAAATGCCTGTATGCAAAAATCAGCAGCTTTCTTATATTCCAAAAATAACCAGTTAGAAAATATCATAGCCAACAGTCAACAAGACAATTACTGACCTACAGGAAGAAAAATGCAAAGCTTTAAGGGATTTATTTATTCTATGTATTTAAGAAACCCTTAGACAATATAGGGCTCATGATGTGCCAGGCACATTGAACCCTTAACAACCCGAGACGGTAGGTTTAATTATTACCCACATGTTTCAGATGAAGAAACTGAGGCACAGAGAGGTTAAGTAACTTGGCCAAAGTCACCCAGCTTATAAGTGGCTGATTCAAAACAGTCAGCTTCCAGCGTCGGTGCTCTTTGCTATCATGCTGCTTAGTGAGCAAATGCAGAGACATATCGTGTTCATAACATGATCCATTCACAGCCGGAATGAGCTCTCCAGCAAGGACTGAAATGCGAACCATCTGTCCAGGGTGAATGGCAAACCGTCAAGGAGCCATGGGCCCCCCACAGGTGCACTGAACGAATCATGCAGGCTTCAGACTAGCGTGGACGCTCACCTGTCAGGGATCCAAGAGGAAACCACAGCTCAGAGTGGAGCCGGCTGCCCCACACTGCTCTTCTACATGCCTTTCCTCTGAGTCCCGTAGATGGATGTGATGCGGTGGCAGGGCGGGTCGTTTCTAACTCAGAATGTCCTGTTCCTCTGTTAGATCCAGGAGATGGTCCATTCAGAGGTTGCCGCCTACGACTCGGGCCGGCCAGGGCCCCTTCTGGGCCGCCCGGCCATGCTGACCAGCCACATGAGCGCCCTCAGCCAGTCCCAGCTCATTTCTCAGATGGGCATTCGGAGTGGCATCCCCCACAGCTCCCCGTCGCCCCCGGGGAGCAAGTCAGCGACCCCCTCACCCTCCAGCTCAACTCAGGAGGAGGAGTCGGAAGCCCATTTCAAGGTAAGTAGGGCGGAGGTGCAAAGCCTTAATTAAGATGCCCCCTCCCCCTCGGCAGGAGAACGGGCCTGCATGGAGATGAGCATCACCTACCTCTAGAAAAGACGAGAAGAGTATAACTACACGTATACCCCCCCCACTTTGCTGGGGGGAGAAAGGAGGAAGAAATTTCTGGTGGGGGGAAATGGTGAAGTCTTATTCCTGAATGGCCAGTGGTTCATTTCAGTGGCATTGATGGAATTGCCAAGATCCTCAGGGTTGCGTCTTGTGGTCAGTATGGCCTTTTAGGAGAAAATATTCTGACCAAAATGCGTGATCCAGTAGAGGGTGCCTCTGGGCAGCACGGACCGCCGGGATTTGGCGTTATGAAGGACCCCACCCCAACTCTGGAGGCATGGCTGGTCTGCCCGGCATCCCTGGGGCCAGGGATGGTCCTGCCTCTTCAAGCCCATGTCAGGATGAGAGCTCCCCAGCTGCCCAGGCTGCAGGCCTTTCTTGGCACTGCACTGACTCCAAATCTTCCTCCCTGTTGGAGAGCGCCTTGTTTTACTGGGGGCAGAAAACAGGGGCTCAGACGGGCCAGGGATGGATGTGCTTGTCGGGAACCGCCCAACGAGCTAGTGGCAGAATCAGACTTGATCCCACACCTGCTACCTCCCTTTCTTCTTCATAAGGCCTCCCCCGCTTTCCACGTACGTGGTGGCCCCACAGGGGACTGGGCAGTCACCATGGAGCCCGTGCCATGTAGCAGAGACCCTGACCTCCTGGCTGGGGCGGGTACCTCTGGCTCTCGGTCCAGCTCCACCCTCACGATAACTTGGTCTGTACCATAGGCCAGGCACAGGGAGGTTTTTCTTTTCTTTTTTATTTAGCAAACACTTCTAAAACACTTCCCATGCGCCACGCAGTGTTCTAAGCACATAGTCAGCATTCACGGCATATAACCCTCATCACAGCCTTCCAAGGTAGGTGCCATTATCTCAGGCTGGCTGACTGGGGACACTGAGGCACAGAGAGGTGACGTAACTTGGTTTTGATTCATGCTTCATTATTGATTAGGAGAGTTTATACTCTGTAAAGGTTATGTGGGGAAAAGGTGATAGAGATGTAAACGATTTTTGTCTGATTACAAGGCAAATTGATTTTTCCCTGTAGAGATGCAAATGACTTCTGTCCAGTGGAAAAGATTAAATTAAGCCCCAGAAGTGATAGTTTTGTGGCTCTCTAGGGCATTTGCCAGTTTCTCTTTCTCTTATACTTCTTAGAATCAACTTATCATCATGCTGATTGTCATGAATGAGTTAAACAAAAGACCCAAGGCTCCTGCCTGGGGGGGGGGTGTCTGTCTGTCTGCCTGCCTGTCCATTGCTCCCTCCACCTAGGGAGTGGTTAGCCCCACAGTTTGGCCCAAGCTGCCCTTGTCTGAGCCCAGGATCGTGGCCAGCCCCAGTCACTGCACGTATGTGAATAGGGCCGGGCCTGCTGAGGAAAGACCAACTCTGCCTCAGGCTGGGGTGGGACCCCTTTGGCAGGAGGCCCCCGGCTTCTCAGGTTTTCTGACTCCTCCCACCTGGGCAGATGTCAGGAGAGAAGAGACCCTCAACTGACCCCGGAAAAAAGGCCAAGAACCCAAAGAAGAAAAAGAAGAAGGACCCCAACGAGCCGCAGAAGCCGGTGTCAGCCTACGCGCTCTTCTTCAGAGACACTCAGGCCACCATCAAGGGACAGAACCCCAGTGCCACCTTCGGGGACGTGTCCAAAATCGTGGCCTCCATGTGGGACAGCTTGGGAGAGGAGCAGAAGCAGGTGAGTCTCTATCCCTTCCTGAGCCATCACCCCCCGAGGCTTTGAGGTCCTGGAGCCAACGACAGACTCAGAAGGTCTGAAACTGGGCCCAGCCTTGGGAACTAGAGGCGCTTGAAGAGGTCTTTCCTGGGCTCAGTTTGCCCCGCTGTAAGCTGGGAAGTGAGGTCCCTGGCAGTGGTGCTGTTTTCTAGCTGCGTTCACTAGCGACTTAACCATCCTGGGTCTCTGCTTCCTCATCTCTTAGATGAGAACATCTCCGTGTATCTTGTCCCTCCAACTCTCACAGCCTGGGGGCCAGACTAGAGCTTTCCTGTCCCACTGACCACATGCCTGTGGCCTCGACCAAGGAGCTCCCGGGGGAACAGGGAGCTGCACTAAGTCACAGGCACATGCCAGCCACCGGCTGTGTGACCGCCGGCTGAGCACACAACCTCTCCCCAATGCTGCCCCTCTCTTGGTCTTTCAGGCCTATAAGAGGAAGACCGAAGCCGCAAAGAAGGAATATCTGAAGGCGCTGGCTGCCTACAGGGCTAGCCTCGTCTCCAAGGTAATACCTGGAACCCTAGGTGCAGCCTGACAAGAGGGGGGCCACTTGCGGGGTGGAGCAGGAACGGGAGGCCCACGGAATGGTCAGCACCATAGGTCTTGGAAAGGATGGCTATGACCACTGTGGTACTTCTCCAGTGCGCCTACTTGTGTGTCAGGCTCATGCGTTCCACTTTGCATGCATCACATTTCATTCAATTCTTCCAACAAGAACCCAAGACTCAGAGGGGTTAAGCAACGTGTCTGAAATTATCCAGCGTGTTAGACGGCTGTCCTGAGATTCAAACCCAGTTCTGCCACTCCTCCAACTTGGCCTTCACTCCTGACCACACTGTCGGCCTCCTCCATCAACACCAGCATCGCGGGAGGCTCATCATGGCTCTGACATGTGGCCCAAGTGGGGGTCGGGGTGTGGCCTGGAAGCTGTTACAGAGGACATGGCATCTGGGTTGGACAAGGGCCAAGCAAAGAGGGGGTGCGCCAAGTCGAGGGAACAGCACATGCAAAGGCTCAGAGGCTGGGGAGGAGCGTACATGGAGGAAGGTCCCTCTGGAAGACGCTGGCCTCACTGGCCAGGCTGAGGAGCATGGGTGTCCCTATGAGCAGGGCAGCCCCGTGGATTAAAGCAGGGGGTGGTCAGATGGTCAGAGCCAAGTGCACTAAGCACCCTGAATTATCTCCGGTTAGTCCACAGCTCTCCCCACAGGGGCCAGAAGGCCAGCTGGGGAGCCGTGTCAGTGGGTTGCACGGCTCAAGTTCTGGCTTCTCTGTCTTCTCCAGTGACTGGTGTCTGTCTCTTTCCAGAGCTCCCCAGACCAGGGCGAGACCAAGAGCACTCAGGCAAACCCACCAGCCAAAATGCTCCCGCCCAAGCAGCCCATGTACGCCATGCCAGGCCTGGCCTCCTTCCTGACGCCGTCGGACCTACAGGCCTTCCGCAGTGGGGCCTCCCCCGCCAGCCTGGCCCGGACACTGGGCTCCAAGTCGCTGCTGCCAGGCCTCAGCGCCTCCCCACCACCACCACCCTCCTTCCCACTCAGCCCCCCGCTGCACCAGCAACTGCCTCTGCCCCCCCACGCCCAGGGCGCCCTCCTCAGTCCTCCCGTCAGCATGTCCCCAGCCACCCAGCCTCCTGTCCTGCCCACCCCCATGGCACTCCAGGTGCAGCTGGCGATGAGTCCCTCACCTCCAGGGCCACAGGTAAGCAGGGCTGAGTGGAAATGAGCACTTCTGGGACCCTTTGTGGAGAGGGGCAGCGGCTTGGGATTTTAGATACCGTCCCTGCCACTCACCAGCTGTGTTACCGCAGCCTAGGCACCTTGCCTCTCTGAGCCTCAGTGACTGCATCAGCGAAATGGGTCTGCTACACCTTATCTGAGATGCGCTGGCTGCAGCGACCAGTTCACAAGTTGCCAGACAGATGTTTCAGATTCTTAGGCTATTCCAGGCCCTCCTTCCCTCATGCTGTGTCCATGTCTGCTCTCTACCCTGAGGGGCTGAGGCCACTGCCACTTCTGCCAGATCACCCCTAACCCCGGCTGTCCCCAAAGCCTTCGAGGCCTGACCCCACTAATTGTTCCACAGACACGGTTCCAAGGTCATTCACACAACAACTCCATTTTACAGATTGGGAAACTGAGTCCCCAAAAAGGAAGGGCCATGAAAGTAAAGTCCTTCATCCCCTGAAGTAACTAGGACAAGGGTTGACGTTTTCAAAACAAAAGGTGCTCTACTGAGGAGTAAGGAGGCATTCCAGGCAGAGGCCGAGGGGAGATTTTGTGCAAGCCAGAGGAAGTGGCTCTGTGAGCACCTCGGGCACACACAGCTCCGTCCCCCCGTGGCTGCCTGAGGCCTGCACCCCGTTCTCTCTGCTATGCTCAGCCGCTGCCTCCTTCCCCCTTGGCAGGATTTCCCTCACATCTCCGAGTTCCCCAGCGGCTCCGGATCCCGCTCCCCTGGGCCATCCAACCCCACAAACAGCGGAGACTGGGACAGCAGTTACCCCAGTGGGGAGTGTGGCATCAGCACTTGCAGGTCGGTACTCACCTCACCTCAGTCACGTTGGTGCTGCCTTAGAGTGGGGACCACGGGTGGGGAAGAGGCGGGAAGCAGATGGAACAGGGGAGGGCCCTGCAAGTCGCAGTCCGCCCTGCGGGAGCACCTCAGGGACACGGTTGCCTATAGTCTTCAGAAGAGGACACGGAGCGAAGCAGGGCCCCAGAAGGACCCAGCTGGCCTGGTGCAAGGCCCCCTGGGGAAACGGAGGCCCATCTTCCGTCTTGCTCTTTCTTCTTGCTGGTGTTGGCCCAAGGGCTCCCGTGTGCCGTGCACAGGTGTCTCTGGTCAGGTTCCCGGGAAGCAGAGCCTGAGGCAGCAGAGGGGTGGGGGTCCTTGATGACGTGTTCAGGGGGAGCTCGCAGAAAGGTGAGGCGCAGGAGAGCAGCAGGACAAGGAGCTGAGCGAGAGCTCGGTCTCAGCTGGAAGCCAGCATCAGCCTGACCCCACCGGGAGGTCTGGGCAGGAATGACACCACACACCTTGAGTTAGGGCTGTCTGTACCCCATGTCAGCCAGCCATGGCAAGCAGTGTAGCCCCCTGGACAAGGAGGTCCCATTCTGCCAAGAGGGCAGGCAGCTGGGCGCACAGGAAAGGCGGGGGCACCAGCAGTGTTCAGGCAGCCTAGGAGAAGAGGCAGCTATCGAACCCAAGGACTCTCCAACCTCAGCGGCACCCCACCAGCTCCGCAGCCCAACGTCCCCCTCCACGTGCAGACTCCAGGGCCGCCTGGCTCCTCCCGGGTCCTCTTGTGGGCCTCGTCCTCCTCTCCTCCTCTCCTGTCCTGCACCCTTGGCCTTCCAGGCCGGTGCGTAACTGCCCCTCCTCTGGAAAGTCTCCCTGAATTGGCCCGGCACCTCCTCGTTTCAGCCAGCGGGAAAGGAAAGCGGAGGGTGCACTTGCTCCTTCACCCGCAGGCCTTTGCTCCCATTCTCCTGACGAGAACGAATTCCACGGCCACACCTGTGAAATAACGGTGCCGAGCTGCTGTCCCAGCAACAGCTCCGTATCATGGAAAGTGGGACACTAATGTCTGCTGGACAGGTGGCCATCTCTGCCGCCGGGTGCCAGCGGCCCCTGCCCCTAGCTGTCGGCCTCTCGGCTGTTCACCCTGCCAAGCCCACCAGTGAGCAAGCAAACATGGCACGTGCCCCTGCTTCTCACGTGCCTGGAGAGAAGGTCTCCCTGGGTGGGATTCCCTCTCCCACACCCAGGGCAGGTACAGACCCTCCCCTCACAGCCCATCGATGTTGTCACAGATGAGTACCCTATTTCAAAAACAGATCAAGGCCCTGTCCTCCTTTAATTCTGTTTGAAATTTACAAAGGAAATACTGTGGCTAAAAAAAAAATGACCTGAGAGCGATGGTGGGATTGGAAGGACAGACACAGGACTGCCACCTTCCCCGGGTCTTAGGACCGGACGGGGTGGTCCCCTGCTGGGGTTCCGGGATGGGGTTCGGTTCTGCCTGGTAGGCAGTCGGGGGAGGACCAGCGCAGCCCCTCAGTCATCCTCAGAGGGGCAGCTGCGTCCAGGGTGGGGCTGAAGGGCTAGTGAACAGGTGTCGTGCTGTGCTCCAGGCCCTGTGTCCAGGCCCCTGAGAGCCGGTGGCACCAGGGGGGGTCACATCGGCTCTGACAGACCCTTCTCTCTCCCACAGCCTGCTCCCCAGGGATAAATCTCTCTACCTCACCTAATCCCGCCTCGCCTCTCCTCCCTGAGGCTGCTGGAAGGGCCCACAGCAGAAAAGAGGCCTTGGCAGGAAGCAGGGTGACCTCCACGAGAGAGCAGTGACACGCCAGTGCCCCAAGGCTGAGTCTCTTCCTCGACCTCTTACCAAACTCTGCAGAGGCAGCCCACCGCCCACCGCCAGCCCAAAGAACCTGCAGGAACCTTCTGCCCCCTGCCCGCCTTGCTCCAGGGTTACTGTGGACCCCGCTCCTCGTCTTGCACACCGTACCCTATGTCTGGACGTCTGGCCTCAGCCCGGGGCATGTGGGCTGCACCTGGAGGGGTCGCTTACCAACAGAACCCCCCTACCCCCCCGATGCATGGGGCAGGGGCCAGCCCAGCCACAGACGTGCAAATGTGGTTTTACAGTGTGAACAAGAGTTTATGAAACCTATAAACTGTTGGCTCCATGTACGTAGTTGACTTAAGTGTTCTAGAACTGTGCTGAAGACATCTGTAAAATTATTTTGTGGGGGGGGAGGGGGAAGTAGTTTCCTTTAAGGTAAAAAGCATTTTATATGACCCTTAGCACATTTTTTTTTAAGTTTTATCTTAAGGGAGACGTGCACAAAAGCCGCTGTCAAAGTGTTTCATCACCTGTACAGCAAGAGCCGGACAATTTATAGCCACAGTTGGGGGGCGTTGCGCTTCTTTTTTTTTTAACCCTCTGTCCACCTATTTAAAATTGCCAATGACGACTTTTGTCTCTTTACGAAGTAAACCTGAGGCCAGAAAAGCAGTTTATCATAAAGTGTGCGTGGTTTTGGAGTTTGATTTGGGTTCTTCATGTTGTTTGCAGCTGTTTCCTGGCCCTGGCAAATGTCTGGCTCAGTACCCAGTGCTTCTCTCAAATTTCTTTATAATAAAACTTCTGAAAAGTTGAAGACGAGTTTGTCTCTTTTTGCCCTTCGTAAGCCAGGGCCAGATCTTCCAAGGTGGCATTTGGTGCTGGCTTTGCCTGATGTCAGTTAGATTCAGGTAAGGTCTCACCTGCCATTTGCACACCTGTGAGGTTCTGTGTGGGTGATGGGGCCTCAGGCCTCAGTTTTGTCATCTATGAAGTAGGTTAATAATGGTGCAAACACATAGGGTTCTCATGATGAACAAGAGGGGTCCTGGGGATGGGTGCTGGCCATTTAGGCAGTAACACTTAAAAAAAAAAGTAGTAATAATCTTGTGACTCTTAACTGCACCTGGGAAAATAACAATTGTCCAGTGTGGGGAAGCTGTTAGGAGGCTGTGGCCCTTGGGCTGGTGACACAGCTATTTTGAGGTGACCTAGACCTGAGGGTGGAAGGCTGTTTCTCTGGGAGTAGTTGTCTCACTGGAGGGCAGTATGAAATCCACGCTGGAAAAAGAAAAGAGAAAACCAAACCAACAAACAAAAACAACATGCTGTCCTGTTGCTAGCGTCACTGCCATGCGAAGCATAAATATTTCACAGGGTTACAATTTCCTTCCTACGCGGAGCTTGTCAGGAACACGGTGATGACTCAGGCCATTTAATATTCGACTCCTGCTTCTACATCGGAAAAATCAGCATCATCAGGTGCAACGCAGGCAGCCCAAAATAACAGGCGTGTGAGGCCATCGGCTCCTGCTTCGGAGGTGGAGGCCCCCACCTGTCCCCTGGTTGCTGCACCAGGAGCTCGGGAGCCCTTGGGGAATGTCCCCCTGCCAAGGCTGGCCTCTCAGCCACAAGAGACACTCAGAGACGCTCACAAAGAGTCTAAATACCCTGCCGACAGACGTCAGGGGGCTTGCCAAGTGAGCGTGGCCCCAGAGACTGGGAGCAGAGCCAGTGGTCAGTGGAAGGTACAAGAACGCTGACCTCAGGGCCATGGAGTAGACAATGCCAGCTCTAGTGGATGCTGTTACTGGTGCCCCGCCCAGGTCCCTTCTTTGGCCCCTGCCCATCCCCAGCTCCTGAATGTCGGCTGTTCCCTGTTCACAGCTGCCCACTTTGTCCCAGCCATTGCCCTTGACCAGGATGCGATGCCTCAGCCCCCCCAGAGCTGCCCTCAGCTAATGACCAAACACTGCAGCAGCCAGCTCTGTGGTACCATTCACGCTCCAGAGCCCCCGGCGGGATCGGGCTACAGCAGGTCACCAGCTGCAGCAGCGGATCCTGGCTCAGCGATTTCACGCGCACACACCCTCCCCTGCCCTGACTACCTACCTCCCCTCCTGAGCACACCCCTAATAAGCCACTTGAACCAGAATCCCCGCCTTGGGCTCCGTCTAGGACAACGGACCTGTGATAGATACCAGCGGAGCACAGTGGGGCCACATCGGTAATGTGCCTCTCTCACTGGCTCTGGCCCTACCTGCAAATGCAAGGTTTTCAGCCCCTGAAACCAACCCCAGCCTGGCCCAAGGGGAAATCAAGGTTCCCATGTGTTCACAAACAAGTCCTCTTCTCTGGGAACAGTGTCTGCGATGGTGATAGCCATAACCCACGGAGCTACCAAGAGCCCAGTGTCACACCTCCTGTAAAAACACCCAAGCCTGTGCCACAGATGTCCCCCATGAGCCCTTGTGCTCCCAAAACTGCCACCCTGGGTTCCACAGCCTCCTAGAGGACCAGGTACTGCTGCAGCCATGCCATCTCCAATCTGCCAAGGCCAGGCTGTGGTCTGGGCCCGCCACACCTCAAGGCCACACATGATGGTCTGGACCCTAGAGCAGTGCCCCTGACATTGTGAGGACACTCAGATCCTGCCTGTATCCTGCCCACTGTCCATGGAGCTGGCCCAGGGAACAAAGCCACTCGCCCTTCCTGGTGCCAAGCGCCCGTTTGGTATTTCTCCATCTCATAGTTCCCCCAACAGAGGCACTGGGACCCTCCCAGGAGGCACAGCCTGGGCGAAGGCAGAGCCGCCCACCCCAGGAGGAAGGCCTGGCTGGTCCTAAAATCGCCCAGCCATAATCATTCCCTCAAGAGCCCTGTACAAATTTCCATGGTAGGCCAGAAAGTTTGAAAGAATCATATGCAAAAAAAGATCTGACATGCTATTATTAGATTCACAGCTTTTTTTAAAACAATGCCCAACAGTGATTACTTAGCTCTGCTCTCCCAATAGCCCCAAACTGATAACCCTAAACTCTCCAGATGCTGGAGGGCGGTCATTCATTCAAAAGAGGCAGAATGGGTGGTGGTGAGGTGGGAGGGAGGCTTAGGACACAGCCTGCTTGGGAGACTATCGGCTGTGCTGCCTACTTGTTGCATGAACCTTGGCCAAATTTCTTACCTTCTCTGCCTCCTCACATGTAACTTGGGGACAGTAACAGCCTCCTTTTCAAAGAGTTGTTATGAGTAAGAAGTTAACACACCTAGGGTTCTTAGAATAGTAATTTATTGGTGTTATTGCATGTCCACACCAGAAATGAAAGTTGCTTGTGTAGTGTACGTACTGGCCAGGATGTGCTAGGCCCTGCCACGGCAACAGTAACAACTCCTGACAACTGAGTGGCTTCAACACGATAAAAGTTTATTTCTGGCTCCCTCTGCCCCGCCATACCTTCGCTGAGTGCCCCCACCATACCTTGAGTTTAATACCCCCTTCGAGGGACGGGAAGCAGTCAGCCAGGGTATCGGGCAGGGGGCTGCAGCGGCGAAGCAGTGAAAGAAACCATTTTGAAGAAGTTCCAGTCCAGAGAGAAGGGGCATGGAGGCCAGCTGCGATTTGGCTGTTACCCTCTGCTATAAAACGAATTGTGTCCCTTTCAAAAGTCCTGTGTTGCAGCCTAACCCCCAGTGTGATGGAATTTGGAGATGGGGCCTTTGGGAGGTGATTGGTCTCTCGCTCTCTCTCCCATGTGAGGACACAGTGAGAAGGCAGCCGTCTGCAACCCAAATTCTCACCAGAAATTGGTGGCACCTTGCACTTGGACATCCAACTTTCAGAACTGTGAGACAATCAATTTCTGTTAAGTCCCCATCTGTGGTATTTTATTATGGCGCCTGAGCTGACTAATATCCCCTCAAAATGAGCAGGGGCTCTGGAGGGACAAGGAAAGGGTGTGTGTGTGTCGGGCGGGGAGGGGGGGCAGGACCCTGTGGCACATGAAGCATGCAGGACCCAGCAGGGCTCAGCAGTGTCAAATCATGCCTGTGGGACACCGACACAGTAATTTCATGCTGTTTTATAATAGCAATTAGCATCTACATGGGAGGAAGAATGTTAATTTTCAAGGTCCTTGACTTCAATTTTAAAGCTTCGGTGCTATGTGTATGTAGCTTAAAAAGTCAAACTGTGTTACACAGCTTATAACCACACGGGCTGCCCTCTGCTCCCCGCTCCTCCCCGCCCCTGACGCCCACCGGCTCCCACCGTACACGCAACTCTTTTAGCAATTTCCTCTGTTATTTAACAAATACATATATGCCCAGGCTCCTATTTCTTGGGTTATCCTTTTTAGAATATTGCTTATGCACTCCTTTCATCCCCCCATCCAAGGAAGACCTATGACACTTATTGAGGGCCTACTATGTGCCATGCATTTTACGTATCAAGTACGTTTTATTTATCACCAAATAAATATTCACAACCCTGTGAAATAGTTGTCATGAAGCGCCCTTTTACAAATGAGAAAACGGAGGCACAGAGAGATGCAATAATTGACCCCAGAACGAGTCAGTGGCTGAGTCAGGGTCTGAATCCCAAGTCTGCCAGCCTCATACCTGTACCACAGGTTTCTTAACCTTGGCATTGAGGGCATTTGGGGCTCTTTAATTCTTTGCTGGTGGAGAGAGGAGGGCAGGGAGAGGCATTATCTGTGCATTGCAGGATGTTTGGTGGCATTGCTGTCCTCGACCCACTAGGGGTGCTAGTAGCACCCCTCTCCCCGAGGTGTGCAACCAAAAATCTCCCCAGACATTGCCCGATGACTCCTGAAAGGCAAAATTACCCCCAGTTGAGAACCACTGATGTATCAGGAGCTTTGGGCTTCCAGCTACTTCAGACTAGTGCTGCCTTAGGCTAGGACAGAGCTCTGCCTGGCGCTGGCTTTACAAGGGTCCCGCTCTGGCCGCTGCCCTCCCTACAGAGCAAGGGGTCCGTGGAGGCAAAGAGGGGCGTGCCACCTGGAGCACGCCACTTTTCTGAACCGCGTTGCATTTCCAGGGCCTAGGTGGCTCTGTGGTCAGTTCTCCTGGCTGCTGGAGTGTGCATGGCTCCCCCTGAGAGGTGGCCAAGGGTGTCATCGATGGGGAAGGGAGTAGATAGAGCTGGGCCTTCGAACTAAGTGGTCTGGACACAAAACGTGTACACAGCCCTCTGCCCACACCCCACCCCCCGACACCGCCCCCCCACACACACTGCAGATAGTGTTGTGAAAGAAAAGGGTGGTGGGCTCCGGGCAGGGGCCTCCCGTTACATCTCACTCGGTTTGCAAATATTAGGGCCAGCCTGCTCCAGACCCCAGCTGCTGGTGTCGCTGCGGGGAATGCAGCTGTAGGTCACCCATTTCTGACACCCATTCCTTTTTAGGACAAGGAGGATTCGGTGCTCACACACCTGTTTTTAATTCCCCTCCCCCTGACCTCCCTGTGAAATTCCATAATAAGGGTGGTTAAATCAATATTCCGTGTTTTATGTTATTATTATGTAAACGAATGTTTACCGATGGACTAAGGGCGTTCTTTCATTATCTTTCCCTTGAATAAATGTTTGGTTTTGTTTTTTGTGCTTCGTGTGCTTCCTTTTCTCAGGTCGCTCCTCCCCAAACCTCACAGAACCTGAACTCACTCTGCGGACAGTCTACATTCAGCATTTCAATCCTTTCTCTAGGCGGTCTCACAGCCATCACCAGAAGCTTCCTTTTTTAAAAAAATTTTTTTACTATATTGGGGTGGTATTTGTTAGTAAACTTATGTAGGTTTCAAGTGTACAATTCTATAACACATCATCTGTATTTTCCATTGTGTGCTTACTACCCAAAGTCTAGCCTCCTTCTGTCTCCATGTATTTGACCCTTTTTACCTTCTTCATCTTCCTCCATCCCCCTTTCCCCTCTGGTAACCACTATACTGTTGTCTGTGTCAATGAGTTTTTGTTTGTTTATCTTGTTTGTTTGTTGCTTTCAGTTTTGTATCCCACGTGAGTGAAATCATATGGTTCTCGACTTCTTCTGTCTGACTTACTTTGCTTCGCGTAATAATCTCAAGATCCTTCCATGTTGTCGTAAATGGCAGTATTTCATCTTTTCTTATGGCAGAGTAGTATTCCATTGTGTGTGTGTGTGTGTGTGTGTGTGTGTGTGTAATCTTCTTTATCCAATCATCTATCAAAAGACACTTCAGTTGTTTCCATGTCTTGGCCACCATGAATAATGCCGCAATGAACATAGGGGAACATATATCTTTACATATAAATGTTTTCAGATTTTGGGGGAAGATACCCAGAAGAGGGATTGCTGGGTCGTATGGTAATTCTAGTCTTAATTTTTTTGAGGAACCTCCATCCTGTTTCCCATCGTGGCTGCACCAATCTGCATTCCCACCAGCAGTGTATGAGGGTTCCTTTTTCTCCACAGCCTCTCCAACACTTGTTATTACTTGTCTTGTTGACAATAGCCATTCTAACAGGTGTGAGGTGGTATCTCCTGACACCTGAAGCTTCCTTTTAATGTTACCTGGCAAATCCCTTTGCTCTTCTCCGCTGAAGGGTCCTCTCCTCTCTGGGTTCCATCTAGCCCTCTTTCTTGTTTTGCTTCTTTGTTGTGATGGAGCACATCTGGCAGTAGCTTTCTAACGAAGGACAGATGAGAAATAAACTTGCAGCTCTGCAAACGTTTTTATTCTGCCCTCACACACTTGGTTGATAGTTTGACCTGGCGAAGACATCTAGGTTGAAAGTATCTGTCTCTGCGAGTCCTGACGGCATGGTTTCATTGCCATCTAGTTTCCAGCATTGCTGTTGAAGAGTCTAATGTCACTCTGCTGCCCACGTCTTTGTATGTCGCTTGCATTCTCCCCTTCTCTGCTAGCTTTTAGATGTTCTCCTTGCTATGTCTTGAAATTGCACAGTAAAATGGCCTTTAGGTGGGTCATTTTTCGGTATGCTGACCCTAGGTAAACCCTTCCAATCTGAAGAGTGCTAGATGGCCTCTCCCCTCTCGGCTTCTCCTGTTTTACTCCTAGACACAAGTGGTGAGGACTGTGATTAAATGGAGAGTGCCCTGCCAAAAAGCGTTTAAGTTCAGTGTGTTTTAAAACACCGTACTGGCCAAAACAAAACAAGTTTGCTAGCCAAATGCATCCTCCAAGCATCTAGTTTGTGCCTTCCATTGAAGCGATGGTTATGAATATGGGTTTTGAAGACAGGCAGACCTGGTTTTGAATCTTAGCTTCTTATCTGTAAAACGCAGTCATGTTTCAAGTCATAGAGGTGTTGTGAGGAATCCATGAAATAATGCAAGTGAAGTGCTTAGTGCAAGGCCTGGCACATAGTTAGTGCTTTATGTATAGTAACTGTTATTATTGTGGTGAATCAGAAAATAGTGATGGTGATGATTTTTTTTTTTAATAAAAGCAGCCTTCCTCGTTTTGAGCCAATTTATGAAAGCACGCGTGTGTGGAGCAGTGGCGTCACCTGGTGGTCATAATTAAGAACTGCAGTGCAGTAGAGTAGGCTTAACAGAATGGTTAGGAGCCAAGTTTGGCTTTAGGGTCAAACAGACAATGGTATTCATCATCCCAGAAAAGGAAGTCAAGAAGGTTTGAGATGTTAAGGGACAGAGACAGGATTAGAACCAGCGGCCTGACTTCGAAGCTATTGCACTGACCACATGGCTGTTCCGTCACTACACAGCACAGTGCCTGACCCACAGCCACCTGACTCCATCATCGACTGTGAGGTTTCCCTTCCCTTGGTGGACTAGCAAGACCGGGCAGAGAGAGATGAAGGGAGGAAGAAGTTCAGCCTCCATAGACACAGTCAGAATTTTGCACAAAGAAAAAAACTGAGCCTATTTTATTTGCAGCATATGTGCAAATTTTGTGTTGTGCGGTTTAGGTATTGTTTTTATTTTGAGTTACATGTTAGAGGGTGCTCCATGTAACTTTTTCAAGCTTGAGGCCTCCAATGGTTGTCATCTGGTTGTTTTTTTGTGACATGGAGCCAAAAGCATCTTGAGCTGGATCTTCTGTGGGTCCGTCAGAGATTATGAAAATTCCCTTCTTGCCACAAATCCCAAATCTGAATTCCACAGTTCGTGGACCTCCTCCCTTTCTCTGCCTTGGAAGAGTCCTGCAGTGGTCAGTGATCACAGGCCCCCGCAATGCCCCAAAGGTGGTTTTAAGTTCCCCCCATGGCACAAGACACCTTAAATGAATCCTGGACATGGCGAAGGACCAGACAAGCTGCAGCTGGCAGAGACCGGAAAAGGCGCCAACTGAGCTATACTGCGCCTGAGCCACCAGGGGGCACCCGTCTCCTACCAACCTTACCTGACTCCCAGGGTCAGGAGCGCGCCTCCTTTTCAAACCATCCAAGGTGATTCTAATATAGCATCCCACTCACTCCCATTTACACAAACACACACACCTGCAGACCAGCGGTCCGCCCCCTTCCTCAGTGAATTTTGTCAAAGCCTTTGCAGGTTAGAACTCTCTCCTCAGTCCCACTGCCACCGCCTCTCTTGTGCTTCCTCCAAGCCCATCCTTCTTCCTGGGGATCCCCAGCTCACTCCCGGCTTTCGAAACCCTCTTGACCACCCATAACACACCTCATTTGATGCACACAGCTGCATTGCCTGGGAAGAAGGCAATAGGCCGGGGTTATGGTCTCTTTGGCAGAAGAGGAAACTGAGGCACAGACAGAGGGAATGACTGACACACAGCAAGTCAGTGGCAGCACTAGGGAGAGAGAGGCTCAGGACACTTGCTCACCAAATCACTCCTGGACCTACGTGAACTTGAGCCTATATAGATGGGCCAGAGGCCCTCTTCGCCAACCATCCCATCAGGGCTGCGGCTTTGGGAGAAGCTTGATGGAAAGTTCTTATTTACTAACAACTCAGGACAGCTGCTTTCTGCCACTGCCTTGCTGTGTGACCTTGGAAAACTCTCCTCTCCTCTCTGAGCCTCTGTAGAGTGAAGATGGCCTCTCTTTTCCCCTCTGACTGAGTCATTCTGTGACTCTTCGGGGCCTGAATCATTTCCATCCCTTTGGGGCTTCCGGGGGCTTCAAACAATAATGCAAGAGGGCTAATGACAGTGCTGTAGTGCAACACGTCTCCATTTCTCAAGTGCTTTTTACAGCTGGGCTTCATGTGAGCTTCAACATTTCATATGATCCTCTCTACAAATCCAGGGGTTAGGTTCTATTACCATCCCCATTTTATAGGTGAGGAAACTGAGGCTCATAAAAATGAAGCAAGTGGGCGAGCAGGATTGGAGCTCACAAAGGCCCAACCTCAAAGGGCAGGGAAGCTTCTGAAAGTCGGCTTTAGAGACTCAAGGTCTGCCCTAGATGGTCTGTGGTCTTTGAGCTGCTGCTTACGAGATATTATGGGAACTGCAAGAGAGAGATGGGGCCTGCACAAGCATGACTCAGAGGCCTCAGCTTCTCTCACCCTCCCTCAGCCAGTTCCTCATCCTGGGCCCACAAGCAGACACCACAACCCCCCAGAGCCTGTGAGCAGATGCAGGTTTATTATTGCACAGACGGCAGCATCCTGAACCCTCACCCCAAACACCAGCCCCCAACTAGGCCTGGGAGTTCTGACAGCCCTGGGCCAGACAGATGAAGAAACCTGGAGCCTGTCAGCCCTGGACAGTGCCCCCAACCTGCCCTCTTCATGCCCTAGAAGTCCAGAAAAACCCAATCACAGATGCAGAGCCACAGGCCCTGGCCGGTGGAGGACGGGAGAATCCACAGGCTTCCCTCTGTAGAAATGCAGTCCAAGATCCCAGCCATGCCACGAGGCCCCAGCAGGGCTTGAAACAGCAAGTGTGAAGCTGGACGGAAGGTCGCAAGTATTAAGGGAAAGCAGACCCCATCAGAAGCAAACTTCAGGGTGCAGAGCTGCCTGGGGGAGGTCTGGCCACAATGTCAAAGCACCCAGGTCCACAGAAATGAAGTCAGGAAAACTGCGGCCCCGCGAGCTCTGTCTGGAGGCCATCGCCACATCCTTCCCCAGGCTTGGAGGGTCCTGGAAGCCTGTTCCCTCCATCCTCCGAGGGGCAGAGGGCCGCTAGCCCTCAGCCTCTACCCATCCCCAGCCAACACGAGGGCCCAGTGACCCAGTGTGGTACCATACAACTGTAATGAGCTACATGCAAACACCCTCTTCTGCCACGCATGCCAAGGGCCTTATTATTCCACAGACGGTGCCGGATGGGAGCCCTGGACTGGCTCCCGTCTTCCTGGGAAATGCCTGTTGACAAACAGCCTGTCTTCAGCACCTGCCTGATCATCTGCCCCCCGGGGAAATCTGCCTGGGCTTCCAAGCTCATGCTCCCCTGAGCCTGAGGTGGGCCCTGGTGGGGGATGCGGACAAACTAATTCATAGGACATCGCAGTAGCTTTATTTTACCAGTCCCAGAACTCCTGCAGGGTGACCCCTCAGCACGCTGAGCACACTGGAAGCCCTAAATGCAATGCCAGCTTCAGGCTCAGGCACACGCAAAAACAAGGGCCAGCCATCCTAAGTGGCCCTTGGCCCTTCTTTCCACCCCACCCCCTGGCCACCTGGACAGTGGCTTCTCAGCCAAAGGCACCAATCCCTCATGTCTCCCCCTCTTCTATTGGTCCAGAAAAAAAGCTAACTGGACTGGTGGGGGTATATTCAAACTGAGCACGTCCATTTCCGCTACGGTCATCCAGGACATCTGTAAGCAGGGGACAGTGTGCGTGCTGGGTCAAGACTGCCAAAGGGAGGGCCTCTGCACCGTTTGAGAGTGTCTGTCACTCCCTCTGCTCGCTTGGGAGGCCTCAGCCCAGCAGCCAGAGGTTAAAATAAAGCAGGGGAGGGGTTGGAGGAAGGGGGCTGGGACTTAATATTCTGGTTTGGTGACTGCTCCCAAAACACACAAAAGCCCAGGGAGGGGGTGACCTAGAGGCAGGTGAGGGAGTGGTTAAGGATGAGGGACAGGAACACATCAGGGCTTTCCCTGCCCCTGGGCGGAGAGCTCCAGGAGGATTTCCAGCACATTCTATTCCTCTGGGCACCTCCACCACCCAGCACGGCGCCACCGGAAGCCTCCTTAAACATTTGCAGTGTGGATGTGAGCTGGAGCCCCAGGGCTCCAGGTCCAGAGTTCAGTCCTCCTTGACCACCCTGCTTGGCGCTGCAGAAAGATGGGTCTTCTTGTCCTCAGCAGGAACTCCTGGCCTGCAAGAGACAGCAAGAGGGTCAGGGGAGGGACGGACGGGGGAAGCACAGAGGCTGGGCCAAGTTCAAGGCAGGGTTCAAGCCTCAGGCTTGACCTTCTCTGGGGCAAGGTCCACCACCCAACCCCCGAGGGTAGCTTTGCCCCAGGGCTCTGACTCAGGGGGATCAGAGACAAGCCCTCCCCAGGTACCCGCATCGTTTTCCCCCTGGATGCTGCCTCTGTGTATTTGCACGTTCTGTTCCCTTTGCTTGGTCCACTCTTCCCTTCCTTCGTCCTCCCCCACTCTCAGCTGGCTCCCCCTTTCCTCTCCTTCAGGTCACTAAGGCCTCAGTCCCTGCAGCGATCATTCCAGATTTCCTGTGAAACATGGACCTTGCAGAGTGTTGGATGCATTCCCAGGACAGCACCTACCAGGCTAATATTGTCATTGGCTATTTACATGGTGACAGGACAGGGACTCCTTCTCCTCCTTTGGGACAGAGCTGGATCCTCTAGGATCAAGGGAGAGGGGCTTTGGTGGGGGGCAGGGCAAGAGGCAGAAACTATTAGCATCACCAAGCATAGGATTTACCGTGTAAAGACAGGTCCTATCAGAAAATGATTGGATTTGCCTTGCAGATACTTCTGAGACCAGTGAGGGCCACTCTCTTTTAACCCAACCCACTTTACCTCCTTTTCATTGAACCTTACCCAGACCCCCACCCAGTTCCATCATAGGGAGAAAACCAATTGATGGAACCAATTGACTGACAGCAGGGTTTCAGGAAAAGAGTACTGAGGAAGAAGGTGGGGGCTGGGGGGGGGGCAGGGCAAGAGAGAAGGGAGGGCAGACGGTCCAGCCATCTCCGAAGTACTCGGTTCAGAGGACCTGCGGGGAGGGAGGCAAGAACTGTTTCGCTTGATATTTGAGCTGCAAGACCTTTTTACCTAATGAGCTGTAAGTTAAGGGTTTACTCCCATTGTATTCATCCTATTTCTTCAGGCAGGGGTGAGTCCCTGCTATATCCCTAGATCCCAGCAAAGCAGCTGCCCAGTAATTGTTGGTCAAATGGATGAATGAGTGAAGCCTCCAGTGCTTACCTGACAGAGAGCAGGTGCTCTTCAAGAGCTGAGATAATAAAAGGGGTGTGTGTGGGGGGGCATAATCTATCAAATCCACACTCTAGGTCCTGCCTCTGCGGGGATGGGCCTCAATGAACCACAGGACAGAGGTTCAGTAGACAGCAGCTCTCTCCTCCCATCATCCTGGTGCCCAGAACTCTAGCAGCGCCCATCCCCTCCTCGCGGCCGCACCTGGTCAATGAGGGTCAGGTCAGGAGGTGAACGAACAGGATGGCCAGGCCGATGTTCAGCAGGATCACCATGCAGATGAGGACGGTGTTAGGGACCTGGGAGCAGTGGAGAGAGGCGGCCTGAGTCCCCATAGGCTCCGAACCACCCTGGCCTCGGCCCAGATCACAGCACACTGGACCAGACTGGACCGAGGAGCAGGAACTTCCGGAAGAACCCTCCTAAGAGCAACTCCCCCTTTGGCTCACTGCGGTGGCCAGCGCCTGGATGGCCGACCATCAGAGCTGGAAAGATTCTTGGAAATAATTATCTACACCAACCAGGGTCCAGAGAGGGGCCAGGACGCGTCCCAAGGCACACGGCGGCGGGCAATGCTGGGCCTGGAACCCAGGAACAAAGCTTCCCACTGCTAATGCCTCTGGGGCCGCATTTGTTGGTCCCTTAGAGCTCAGCTTCATTCTGTGGCTGCAGCGCCTAGCTCCCAGCCTCCCATAATAAGCCTGGAGGTCCAGGGCCCAAGCCCCGCTGGGAATTTTCCTCCACTCCCAGGAAGCCTTCTCTGCTGCGCCTGGTAGCAGATGCTGCTGGCGCCCGGCCCAGATCCCCCTCACCCAGCAGGTGCTCCTACACCCCAGGTGCACAGAGCTCCCAGCTGCCCCCTTCTCCAAAGAGCTGCCCCCTGCTGACCAGATAAAAGGGACACAGTCAGGCCTCCTGTCCCACGATGCGGGCAATTGATGCTCCCAAGTCCACCCGGGGTCAGGCTACACTTGGCTAAGCCCATGTCTCTGCTGGGGCTCCCCCTACTCAATCCTGTGCCATCAGCCTCCCCCCAACATCATCTGCACCTGAACCCTGCCTGGCCCGCAGGGAACCTGCCCACGGCCTCACCTCCTCCACCTCCACCTCGGCCTCGGCCACCAGCGCCGCCTCCTTCCGCGTCTTCTTTTTGGCGCCGGCCTTGGTCAGCGCTCGGGCCTCCGTCTTGCGGGCCTTGGCCTTGGGCTCGGCTTTGGGGACGATGGGCTTGGGCTCCAGCTTGGCGGGGGGCTCGGGCGCGGGCTCGGGGCTCCGGGGTGTCGGGGGCTCCACCGGGGCAGTGACCGGGGACGCGGGCGCTGAATCGGGCCTGGAGGCCTCGGGCTCAGGCTCGTCCTCGAAGGGGGGCGGCGCGGGCGGCCCGGTGCGCACCGCGTAGCTGTGGTAACCCTGGTACCGTGCCACCTCGGGCTCCCGCGACGGCGCGGGCGGCGCCTGCAGCGCCTCGATGGCCATGTGCTCGGTGGCTGGACGCGCCGGGCTGCGACGACCCTCGGACGGCGTGGCCGACCGGCTGCCCTCGGTGCCGGGCTCGCCGTTCCAGGAGCCGGGGCTCAGCAGGCCGTCCTTGGTCATCCCCGGACGGGGCCGCTTAGGCTGCGGGGGCGTCCCGGCGGGCGACGGGGGGCCACCCTCGGGCCGAGGGGTCTCGCGCTCGTGCAGCTGCGGGCTCTCGCGGGGCCGCTCCGGGAGGCCAGCGGCTCCCGGGCCCCGGTCGGGGGGCTCCAGCAGGCTCTCCGAGTTCTCCAGGATCTCCTGGAGCAGCCGGCGTTTCTGATATTCCGGACCTGCCAGGGACAACACAGGGAGGATGGATTCGAACCCTGGTACCGCCACCGGGTGATCCCGGGCTGGCCGCTTAACCTCCCTGCGCCTCGTTTATTTACTCAGCCAGCACTTAACCTACCATCTACCGCATGCCAAGCAGTGCTTCAAGCAATTTCCAAATATTAGCTCACTTAATAGTTTTAATAACCCTAGGAGGTCGATGCTATTAACCTCCATTTTACAGATGCTGGAGACAGGGAGGCTCAGAGAGGTGAAATCACTTGCCCAAAGTCACCCAGCTGACAAAGGGCAGAGCCAGGACTAGCACCCAGGAAGTCTGACTCCAAACCTTATGCTCTTAACGGTGACACTGGTCTTTTTCCATTCTCTTATCTGAAAAATGGGCCCAATCATACCTAGTTCATAAATACTGATAGAACGATTAACTGGGTGGGGGAAAAAATTCATGTAAAATGCTGAGCTCTGCTTGTCTCACAGTAACGACTGTTGCTATGACCGACCACCGAAGGCAGAGGCAGCCGGCCACTGTCGCACTTCCTGAGACCAGCAGGGGGAGCGCTGGGACCAGAAGCGACTACTCCCAGACACAGTTCAGCACTCCAAGCGCTTCCATCTAGCCTACCCTTGGCCTCTTTGCGGCAGCCAGAATAATGTTTAGAAAACAAATCTAATCATGCCACTCGCCTTAAAACTCTTCATGCAGAGAACGCCAATATCCCACCCTGCGGGGCTCACACCATTCTATCAAGTGCAAGGTCGGTATCAGAGCTAGGAGGTTCTCCTTACTCAGCAGCCTCATTTCCCTGAGAGGAGACAGCCTGGGGTGGGGCCAGTCCACAGCTGGAGGCCTCTGATACCCCCACCACAGTCTCTGCATGAGTCCCCCATGTCACACCATCCCCCATGCTTGCACCATGCCCCACAGTTTCTAGAACTCGCAGTTAATTGTGAACACACTTGGGCATCTCAGCTTTCCAGCAAGCAAAGAAAAATAAAAGTGGCCACCCTCAGGGAACTCCCCCCACCCAATCCTGCCTGTCCCTTCTTCGGCTGGCCCTACCTGGCTGGTAGAAGTCTGGAGCCAGCTCCCTGGCCAAAGTGCGGGCAATGTTGGACTCTTGGTTGGCAGCTAGGGCGGCCTGTTCTGCAGCCTCAGCTTTGGCCTTGGCATGGCTTGTCCTAAGGAAACAACATGGCAGACACTCAAGATCCCTCCAGAGAACCAGACCTCTGCTCCTTCACCCCAACTCACAAAGAGACACCCTGAGCAGAGCATTCATTCACTCAGGCTGTCAATGAATATTTATTGAGCCCTGTGGCTTAGATTGGTGTGCAATCCCCAGACCGTTTCTTCTTCTGTCTGGGCACACAGATAGACTACATTTCCCAGCCTCCTTTGCAGCTAGGTATGGGCAGGTGACTGAGTCCTAACCAATGCATTGTGGGAAGATGTGATGTATGCCTGGCCTATGAGAAACTCCCCTGTGATCCTCTACTTCCTCTCTTTTTCTTCTGTTGCTGGTAAAATCCAGAGGAGGCCAAGGCCCCAGAACAGGGTACTTAACCTCTTTTGTGTCACAGACCCTTTTGGCATCAGGTGATGCCTACGGACCCCTTCTCAGAATGATCTAAAATGCATGAAAGACATAGGATTACAAAGGTATGCAATTATATTGACACACTGTTACCAAAATACTTCAAAGAACAAATATGTAATATAGTATGTCCTTCTTTATTAACACATTAAACAAAATATCTAGCAGGTCCATTAACTACTATAATTTTAAACTGTAGATTAGCATAAAGGATATTTCAAAGATACCTGCAACAATAGTGACGTGACATTAAAATATATGTGTTTCTATTGGTGACAAAGTCACAGAGGCTGCTAATACAACTGTTGTTTATTGCCAATTTCCATAAGTGACGAAAATGCTCAATTTCTGTTAGAAGTTAGTAAAAAAAAAAAAAGATGTCGTTTTCCCATCTGTTGCAGACACTTTTAGTGCCCAGATCCCTTCATGGGGCGGATGCACCCACCCTCCCTTAGGTGCTGTATTGGCTGCTAATGGCTTGTTGCTGTCCCAGAGAACTGCCACCAATAGAAGCCACCTTGTTCCAGAGGTCAAAACCCCACTCCCACCTCAACCCAGGAAGCCCAACCAATGATCGATGACACCCCCAATTCCTTCTTGCCCCTGGAGGAGCCAGATCTATGGTCCAACAAGCCAGCTCCAGAGTCCCTGTGGGAGGCAGGCTGAAGCAGGACTCGAGGTAAGACCACATCCGTGATCAGCTACGTCCCTATCCAACCCTGCCTCTTTTACTCCCCTCTCTCCTGAGAGCATTCCCTCATTAAACCAAGCGCACAGAAATCCCCATCTCAGACTCAGCTTCTAGGGACTCTAACCTAAGACAGCATCCAAGTTCACGGACTCCTGGAGTTACATCCACAGAACCCACTATGGACTCCAGGTTAAGGAACACAGTAGAAGGAACCTGGGTTCACACATGATTATTGCACAGAGCAAAGTCCCCTCCCACAGGGGACTGTGGGACATTTAAGCATTGCATTTAAATATTAAATGTAGAACATTTAAGCAATCCCTTAAACATATCGTGCCTAAGCTCTTGAGATTCAGGGGGTGTTTGTTTTAGCTGTTGGTCTAACCTAATAGAAGCACCTACTAAAACAATAACAGCCCCATTTATGAATGGGCCGGGCACCATTCTACAGGGATTATGAAGATTATCTCATGTAATCATCACGATGACCTAGGAAGCCGGTGCTGTTATTATTTCCCCTACTTTACAGAAAGGGAAACTGAGGCACAGACAGTTTAAGTAGCTTGCCCTTGGTCACAGAGTCACTAAGGACAGGGCCAGGCAAGATGGCTCCGGAGCCTGTGGTCTTGAGCACTGCTCTAGAGCCTACGCCACGCGTGGGCAGGAGCTGGGCACAGAGATCCCTGTGGACAGGACAAGCTGGTCCCTGCCTTCACTGTCAAGTGAGGGAGATGGGGGGTAAACGAGCAGCAGAACTTACTGAATAAAATGTAAAGAAATGAAAAGGGCTCCGTGGCGATCATGACAGGTGCCCTGAAGGAAGAGTACAGACGCAGAGGAGAGCAAGGAGATTTGATAGAGACCAGCGCTGGAGGTGGGGTAGTCTGGGAAGGTTTGTGGATGTGACATTCAAGTTGAGACCTGAAGACACACATGAACTAGGCCCGTAAGAGGTGGGGACAGTGAGCCAGGTAGAGGGAAGAGCATATGCAAAGGCCCTGAGAAGAGGTAAGAGCTCGGTGCCCTTGGGGAACTGAAAGGTCAAATCAGGGTGCACCTGTGTGGATGAGGTAATTCCTTGGGGCGCTGATGTACCTGCGTCTCTCTAGTCTCCAGCACAGAACCGGGCCCCCAATCAGGGAGGCACATTTTATGAAGCTCCTCCTACGTGCCAGGCCCTTTACCTATGTTATCCCTTTCAACCCTCAAAACTGCCTGGGACAGCGCTTACTGTCCCTACTTCACAGGTGGGAAAACTGAGTCTCAGACAGGTATCTCGCTCAAGGATGCAAAACAGCAGTTAACACTTACAAAGTACGTACTACGTGCCGAGGGCTTTACAGAAATTCACCCACTTAATTCCCCCCAATAACATGACGTGGCAGATGTTAATACCATCATCCCTCTTTACAGGGGTGAAATCCAGGGCACAGGAGTGTTTTGAAAGATCTCACCCAAACTTACACAGCCAGCAAGTGACAGAGTGAGATTTCGGAGCAAGGCATTCTGGGATCTAGACTCCATGCCCTTAACCACAGGCTAAGCTTCCACTCTCTAGTGAGGAGTGGAGCTCAAGCCCAGAACTGTCTGATTCCCAAGCCTCTGCCCTCTCCACTCTGCCACACTGCCACTGTAATGTCTACTGAAGGAGAGGAAATTTTACCAAATGAAAGAATACATGAATGGACACACACAAACACATGTGCACATATGCATGGGCATGGGCGTAGCAGACGGAGTAGTTAAGAGCATGGCTTTGCAATCAGCAGCCCTGGATTCTAACTGTGGCCCTGCCAAGGCTGGGGCTAGGGTAAGGCGAGTGAGGCATTCACCTCATGCTCAGAATTTAGGGGGATGCCAGAAAACTTGGTAATCAAGCTAAATAATATTTTAATACAATATTTTTAAAAATCAAAATTAATGCAAAAAAAAATCCTTGATGAACAGGTTATGAACAAAATTTAAATAAAGGCCGGATCAGACCCTGCACTTGCATGAGTCGCCTGGCTCACCTCACTCTCGTCTGGATCCTGCTGGGACTCTAGGACCTCGGGTCCGTGCCCTTGCCTCTCTGTGCCTCAGTTTCCTCACCTGTAAGATAATTCTCCCCTCTTGGAGTTGCTGTGAAAACTGAGAGGCAGCATATGAAAGTGTTTGGCCCAGGGTGAGGCTGAGTGATGACGTGGTGGTGAGGATGGTGGTGATGGGAGGGGGGGAAGAGAAGGAGGAGAAAGAAGAAGAGACATTTGTGACATCAAAACTGAGTGTGTCCATACGTGTCCCCAGGCACATATTTGCCTGTCCAGCATATGTGTGATTCAAAGTTCTCAACTTTATAGAGACACTTCCCTGGAAACCTGAAACCCCAGGTGGGGGGAGGAGGGAATGGACTGGGCAAACCTTCCAACTGAGAAAATGTCCTTTTTTGGTCATGAGAGCTGGATGCGGCTTGCTTCCTGGTGACTCTTCAGGCCAGAATGGCAGCCTTCACACTGAGCCCTGGAAGATTCTTGGGGAGTTCATCTGTGGACTCTCCAAGGAGCCAGAACAGGGGTTGAGAATGGGGTGGCCACACCATCCAAGGAAGCACACTCCTCTTCCCATGTCCATCAGCCTGGCCGACTGAATCCTTTATCAGCCCCCCACCAATACCTCTGATTTCAGGAATGGCTCCCCAGGGCCCCAGCCTTTAATTCAGAAATCCCTACGTTCTCCAGCAGCCTCCGTCCTCACCTCCTTTCAACATCACAGCCATCAATCTCCAACTCTTATCTCTTCTGCTCTCTCTATTGCTCTTGAACTTGCCCATCTCTCTCTCCATCCTTCTGTCACTCCTCCTGCAAAGCCCCCCACTCCAATCCCTGCCTCCAGGTTCGCTCCCTACAACTGATTGCATGCAGTGGTACCCTGGTGTGGTGAACTTGCTGAACCCATACAACTAATGGCCTCACCTTGTGCTTAAAATCTTTGCAAACCTTCCTATCGTGCTCAAAATCAAGTCCAAACTACTTAGCGTGCCCTTCAAGGCTCTCCAGATCCTGGGAGATCTGGAGTCTTGAGGGGGTATATCTAGCAGCTCACAGGGTGAAGGGCAAGCCGAACTGCTGTTGCCCACAAGCTTTTGCTTCTAGTTCAGTGCCACTCACAGTGTGGTCCATGCCCCCCAACCCACCCACCTCCAGCCCCTCATCACCTGGGAGCTTGTTGGAAATACAGATTCTTGGGCTCTGCCCCAGACCTATGAATCAGAATTTCTGGGAGGGAGCCCAGGAATCTGTGTTGTATAAGCCCTCCAGATGCTCCCTAACATTTAAAAAGCATGTGCTAGACAGACAGAAACCCCAGCTCTGTCTTGGGCAGTTCCCAGCCTGCTCAACCCCCCAGGAGCCTTGAGTGTTTGATCCTGCCTTGAGTCCACGTCCTGCTGGGCAAATGCAGGAACTATTTCTTCTCCTGGGACCACTCACGGTGCCTGCCTGCGCAGTTGCCTCTGGGGGAGGGTCTTCTAGGAGGCCTCTGACCCTGCTGGAGGGGAAGGGAAGGCCAGTAACTGGGGCAGTGGGAGGGGCAGGGATCAGCCACACTTCTTGATTTCATTTGGATTATCTTTCATCAGCGGGGTTAAAAATAAGGCTGGTGGTTCACGGATAAGGGCAGGGCGAGAACCCCACAGAACCACATCTGAGAGCACCCACCCCCTCCCGGGCCTCCGGGGCCTTGTTCCCCCAACCCCAGACTCCTAACTGGCTGGTTAGAGCCGGCCTTGTTGCCCAGTTGTCTCCCCCAGGCACTGGTGGCTTCATTAGGCCAAACGGGGTACCCGCTACTTACCCCTGATACCATACCTTTGCTCAGGCTGTTCCCCACCCCCCCCTGAAATGCTCTTTCACCTC